CATCAGATTCGCTTGTGGCTTGTATACAACAGAAATACCTACAATGACGTCAGGACATTAGAAGTTTATCTTAAGTAAAAGAAAATCTCGATCCACTTTTATTGACTTACGTGACAGGAACAACCATTCCGGTTCACTGTTCCTAAAGTAGCAATGTCATGCTTATAATTTAATTCGTTTAAAAGGACAATACGATGCAGAATCGAATAAAAATTGTTCACCAAAACCGAATTCAGTAAAGAAAACAATGCAATCACCGTGATTCAAACGTTCAAACATTCGAATACACGATGTAAAATGTAATGAAACATAAGCCTGTACCATTTTCGATGGTCATTTTTAAATCATCTGCAACACTACTCAATAAAAAACATTCAATACGGCATGAAATTTTCCACAATAAAAAGCCTATTCAATAAATACCACTTAAATAAAAACGGGAAAAATTGTACCCGATTCGCGTTTCACCCGGCGGACAGATATTTTTACAACTAATCGTTACGTTTTCGCTCGGATGAATGCTCGGGTGAACAAATTACAAGGTTTTTGTAGAGCTGAATCTTACAAATTCTTTTCTTTCAACCCTTGAACAGACGGGGCTTCTTTTAAATCTATGTACGTTAGGAACTTGAGGAAAATATTGTCATAAATATAAACACGGGTGCTCAAAGATAAGAAACTGCTTTATTCCGTCATAAGGACAAGATGTGTCTCCACATGCCTTACCTAAATAGCTCTGTTATATTCTACGTCACATAAAATTACTTTCCACACACAGGCGAACTATACTATGCCGACAGATAATTACGCAATTTTTCCTTTCCATTACATTAATCTGTTAGTGCTGAATCTAGCCTTTCAAATCTGACTGTAGATTAGACATATCGTTATAAACGAAAAACGAGGTCACGAGACTAATGAAATTTGCGTCCAAAAAAGGGAAATATTGTCCCGCTTTTTGTCGGGTTCTTCTGGAACTCAGTACCAGGAAAAGAATTGTGTGAAATGTATGTAGGTAAATATGTAAGAGTGGAATAGATGTAGTGAGTAGCACGACAAAAAACCGGGGTCCCGGGTCTCGGCCGTCGTGCGGCGTCGGCTCGCCCTGTCACTACCAGCTCTAGATTATATCGCGAAATCCAATTTCGTGGTTTTGTTATCGCTCTCACAGGAAATTCACTAGATTATTTTCTTCTAATGAAATTTAAGTTTTCTTTTAATGCGTTAAAACTTAACTTTGAAGTCCAACATGACGTTGCATTATTTACTTTTGAACGTTAATAGGTTTAGGTGGTTTCGTTGTGTTTTGAGGACGAAAACCGAGTTTCTTTAACTAAAGTAAGAATTATTTCTTCTCAGGGTGACTTTATGCCTGCTAACAAATTAGTCATGCAAGCTTACCTTGGCTTGAAATAAAAATAGAACGTCCAAGACGTTCAGGTTTCGCTAAGTAGATTTATTATTGGATAAAGTTGTACGAGTAAGTAATAATATTTGAGAAATGAACGTAATGTCAGCGGCGGCATGCGACCCCGGCTTTGCCAAGATAAATGTGCACATACAATGCAACCTACCATAAACTTTTAATAGAAATCACAAACAATAAGAAAAAAGTGAATTAAAATAAAATTGGCTCGTCGACGAACGATTTTATAGAGTGCATTTCTAGATACCCAAAGACTAAACCTTCCTTAAATAATAAATTGACGATGTGATGAAACCAGTGACATTCAGTTTAGAGGATTTCGGGATTAGGCCACACGCTTTGACAGAAATTTATTTCAAAAATATACTTAATATCCTTAATTTATTTTTTTATTTTCACGTCCATTGAAACGAACATACATTTCTCAAAAAAGTATGTAGCTTCAGTTTTTTATAGTTATTTTCGTTTAATATTAAATAAACGTTTTCTTGATGAACAATTCAATAACTGTATATGTATATCAATAACTATAAACCTGACACAGTTCAAGAATAAAATCTCATATTGAACATTAAAGTTGTATACGGTCGCATTATTTAACCCTGCATTCGTTCTAGGGTTACAAGTACTAGCGTCATTCTTCTACGGATCAAAATGAATTACTTTGTTCCTTTACCTGCATTGTCACAGTCGCCGTCTTTACAATAAACTCCGACCATTGGGGATTGTCTACGGCTTTGTGCCTGCAAAAAATAAATTGCCCCAATACAGCGTGGCTTAACAACTTAATTTAATTAACAATCATCTTAATGAAGCATAAATTGCTCGGTCATGGCTGAGCCTACGTGGATATCTCTTGTTTATTGAACTACGTACGTAATTGGTATGATCCGTTCTTTACATTTTCGTAAATTTACTGATAATTACTGCTGTAAGGTATTGAAAGTAAAATTGTAGGTTTTTTTCTAGTTTTATGAATAACTTTTAAGACTTTGCATACATAAAAGACAAGAAAATGTGATTTGCTATAACGAAATGCAGACACAAATTATGCCGAACGAATTCTATCCCCTTCGCGGCCTCGTAAATTCAAATTTACAAGAATAGCAAGAATTTGTTGGCGCATGTATCTCTAACAAAATTTATTCTGAAGGATCAGTTTGGGACATCCCTAGTCTATCTGCTATATGGCTTGGGAGCCTCAAGTGTCGTCCCTCCCCGCAGTTAATGCTTAGTACAGACTCAATTCATATGAGTCTAGAATACTAGAATTGTAAATACGGCCATGTGGTTTTATGAGGCCTAGAATGACAATTGCATTAAAGAAATCAATTCTTTATACAGTTTATCATTTATCGTCGCTCCGACGGAATTTTCATTCGTTTTTATTTCATTTTGAGAACAGGCCACAAGTTTAATAGCGTTCCGTTTTTGTTATATCTCTGTGTAGAACAATAGCGATCACAACAAAGTTCTAATTGAAACCATTCCCAACAAAGTATTTGAAAATATCGTTCAATTAATTACGTATTTTATGTAAGGCAATCTCGGGAGTGGTGACGATGTTACAGCCGTAATAAAGTCATAAGCATCAACATTGTTACGTTAGACACCGTCACTCGACACACGACAACCTTTCAGGCCTGACTGGCTGTAGCTATACATACTATATGTACATTTACATACAGTGGGCAGCCATTCCACGCTCATACACTTCGTACAGACAAACTTTTGGAAATCACGCCTTTATTATCATAACATCGGCGCGGAGGAAGCGACGATGCTCCGTAATGATGCCATTTTGTTACTGATAATGTTGTAACTAGACAGTAAATAACTGCGCCGCTCTATCCTCGTGATAAATATCATTTTTAGGCAATTATTTACAAACACATTAGGAATATGTATGCGATAACGTTTTGTTTTGTTTGTTTGTTTGTTTGTACAACGCATAGTTTACATTACTCGGTCAAGTTTAAAGTTCAGTCGATGCATGAAGCGTCTAGCTGATTGCGGCCCAGTTTTTTTTTATCTATTATAAATTTCCGTATATTAAAATAAGCGCATAGTCTTGCTAAGATCACGACCTTAAAGTTGGTTTTAAATTTTTATACGATGAATCGCTTCACTATTAACGCGATGGAGAGGCAATATCTCGGTGTATTGCAAAAGAATAAAAAGGGAAATAAAGTAACTTGTATGGCGGGTCGGTTGCAAGATGCAGAAATCTGTGCGGTGTGGGCGTGGGTGAACCGGTCTAGACGAGATGAACTTTAAGGATCCGACAAAACAAAAATAAAAGTTTGCTATATCGCGACACCGAGCGGGGACGCTGGCCTTAATGTCTGATTATAGCCAACACTTGATTTAGTAGGATTTACTAAACGTTAAGAAATTCATCGAGCACAGACAAACGAGTTCAGTCCCACCTGAGACAGAAAGCGAAAATTGCAAATACAAATGAAATTGAAAACGCAGCTCAAATCTTTGTTGTATGTCGCCCTTTGCTTAATACAAATTGACCCGAGAAACTGGTTATTGTTACGTTGCGAGGCTTAGCTTGCTACTTATCCACTTTTGCTATCATTAAGCCAACATTATTGCTCGACATGATTTCAACATGCTCCATGTGTAAGTATCGGTTCAGCCTCGGCTTATCACAAAAAGTAATAACCACATAATGTAACAAAACAAGGATGAGATTTGATGGAAATAATCTTATTTGCTTACTACCATTATCCGCATATAAGTACTCGTATATTTGGTTTTCCTCGATGATGGTTGAGGCAAAACTTGGTACAAAATCATAAATTATTTGGTTTATGAACTCTAAAAGTAAGTATTATTTAGTATTTGTAATGTCTATCCATTGCAGCTTTACGTCAAGGTTATTGTCGAAAGTTCTCGTTTATTGCTTGCAATCGGAGACTACGATTGTTTTATGCAACTGAATATAATCGTTAATCGCTAGCACAAATGCAATTCAATTTAATGAGATTTTTCTAAAGCACAATGAACTCTTTGTCGGAGTTTATTGTGGACTCCCAGGAGAAAACCTCTAATTTACCTCGAGTGGACACAATTGGAAGAAAACACAAGAGAGGGCGTCGCGCCGGATTAGATTAGCGCTGATAAGATTAGTGGCGTCGCAAGCGAGCGATGCACCACCGCACCGGCTGCCATGTGAACCTGCTAATTACAAACTCCTCCCACCGTACCCAACGCACTGCCATAATTACTGCACAATTATCTTTACATCACTATTTAGCTCAACTAAACCTCTTTTCAAAGTTCTAAGAAAGGTCAAAGATATTCAGAGTTAAAGGTAAGTAATGGTCGATCAGCTGACCGCTCACGCAATTCGGATGTTATTGGTGCTCTCGCTGAATATTGATGGACGAGGCATAGACCGGAGTTTCGCGGGCTGGACTCGGGCGGGGCTGCACCCTAATGCAATGATTCATATTATTCGGTTTGCGGGCGAGTTGAACGTCTTCCATTATTGTCATTCATCGGAGGAAGTGGGCGGCGAGGGGCGGCGCGGGTGTCGGCGGTAGCCCCCCGCTCGACTCTCAGTCGCTCGCCGACACTCTCGCCGCCAGCACGCGAGAGCCGCGATGCACGTTGCCTTCGCTTGACGCATTCAGTCGCGATCCGCGTGTGTGTGCCACTGTGCCCTCTCCGTGATCCGAGATCGAAGCTCGTTTGAACCGCGTGCAGTGTAGCTGCAGCAAGTGCGCTCCTTCGGATCCTAGCCAGGGTCCGAGTGCAGCGAACAGCCGGTGCCGGTGGACAGCAGCACGCGCCAGCCGCCGCTCAGCTGATCGGCACGTCTGCCTACGAGCGCACGGTGAGTGCGATCGATCACTGCATGCACGCGCTCGACTTCACTTTGAGTCTATTTCGAGTCGCTCGCGAATCAGCTCCCGATAGATCGCATGTACGCATCTCGGACATCATCGCCGACAGCTGCCAAACTTCGATGATTTTGCTAAGGAATAATGACAAATGTCAAGTGTCGTCGCGCTGGTGCAGCGGCCGTGTTGATAAACAGTGTCGGTTTACTGCGAAAATGGGTAACGAATCGAGGTGCTTCAGCCGTCCGTGGAAATGCGTTTTATGTTACAAGTTGACTCGTTTGTCAGTAATGAGGTGAAATCGGTTTCGGAATGGAAACGTAGAATAACAAGGATTCGAATAGTGGAACGTAATGTGGTGCATTTGTGTACGAGCGTAGTGTGTGTGAGTTAGACGCAATTCGTGCGTAGTAGTGCAGGGCAGCTGAGTTCCCGTCGCGTTGCACTCTTGCGCAAAACGCACGTCTAGCGGCGGCCGCCCCACGCTCGCAGCCGTCTGGCCGGGCCCCCACTACTCCTGCTAGCCGCACCATGTCTCCGAATACCAATATTTTGCTAATGGAAATATTTATTGATCGCAGACTTATCTACGTATCACGTCGAGACTTGACTAACTAATTAGATTTGTTGCATGCCTTCGCACGTGTGATTATTACGTACTTAGAAAAAATAGAGTTATCGAAGTCTCATAAAATTCAATATAACAATGAGATTATAATCGATTGTATAATGAACTTAACAATGAAAACTGTTTAAGAATTATTTAATAAATGAACAATACGTGCAGGTAGTTGGCATGAACAGTAACAAAACCTGTTATCTCTTATCAATCTGCTCTTGCGAAGGTCGTGCTGATACGCGGATTCCGGTAGTTGCCACTCACGTAGTGGCGATATAAAGAAAGTTTGAATAAATTATAGATTCACTCGAATACAAAAGCCGTATTAACTTGACACTTACGTACCAGAAAACTTAATTAAAATACTTATCTGTCTATTTCATAGTAACGATAGCTACAGCTAATAAGCATAGCATTCAAATAGCTAATTTACATTCAATTTTGACATTCCTTAGGAATTCTATTGAATTATCTTAGTCTAACAGTTTTGTAAGTCTACGACGTCGTAGAAGAAAACTGTTTAGAATATTTCCATCAACAAATTAGCTGCCCTTTGCATAATAAAGTAGGATTAACAATGTTTAGATGGGGCCGGCTATTAACTTCAATCCCGTTCAATAAAAATATTTGTAAGTACTGTAGTAAAGTTGTCGTTGATTTAAGTGTTTAGTAGAGTTGCTAGATTCGATATTTATATAATTATATCGCGTGATGTACTAGTATTTTCTGTAATAGTGTCAAGTGTCGAATTAAAATCAATATATGTTTTAGTAACAAAATGATTAGATGCGTTGTAAATCTATCTCTGCTTGCCTCCTCGCAGTAAGTATAATAAAAATTGATGACAAAAATTTTTGAAGAAAATCCTTCTTTAAAGTAGTAACGTTATGTTATAATTACACTACCCGTTTTATTAGAAAACTCGCCTATAACTAGTTAGGTAACGATGTTCATTAAATTGCACTACAAAACAAACGCACGAAGTTACTGGAATGCATTATACCATATCTACATTATCAGTACAAGCATAGCTTTAAAAATTGTTATCACAACATGCAATGTTTAACAGTTCTCAAATCTGACAGATTCTTTTGCACACAATCGCAAAGCCACAGATAAAATAAGCAAATTTATAATGACATTGACATTTGACTGATAATCGGTCAGTGTATTTATTTATAGATTCATCCATATTTTAAAAGAAATCAACACATTCAACATATAACCATTACATACGTAATATAATAAAAAATAATACGACTACAGTGCTCAGGTCAAATATGTGACGGACATATTAATTTAAATAAATATTATTTAAAGTAACATTTGTCATGGCAATAAAAAATATTGTCTGGCAACCCTAAAACAGTAACATTTACCTAGCTGAAAGCACCCCTAATGTTATTTATAGTTGTCGATAACTCACTTTGAACCCTTACTTTCGTTTCCAAACTTACATACGAAAACTTATTTGAATAAAGGTATATGGCTATTTAAGTATTCGGAAGATGCCAGAAACACTTGGAAAAAAAAATGACAATTAAGGCATTTAATTTATGTAACAATCACTGATAACATACCAAACACGTCTGAGCGGAGATAATGAAACGCGCCCATGACTATTCTCATTTATTTTCCACTGATAACAGTTTAAAAATGTTGGACGAAATCGTCTGCTAATGGGTCACTCCATTGTCAGCAGGTTATTCAACATCGAAGAATGTTGAGCGCATTAAGGGCAAATAGACTCCCGTATCGCCAGTACAAAAGAGTATTGACACAGGGAGATAAGCATATCTGAGTGTACACTAATGTAGGTATCTGCGGCTGGTTTACACTCATTGTTCCGTTATCATGTACGGTTAGCGCATTATGTGGCCGATAAGCAAATAAATGCTCGTTCTTTGCCGTCTGAAGACATGTCGCCGGACAGTTTCGCTCGTCTGCTCTCGTCTTGTGCACACATTTATTATTATTTTTTCTATAAAGATATGCAACTCGCATTGCGACATTGTTTTGCACTTAGTTTTATGATCAGTTCTTCGAGTGCAACATCCTACATTACTATCTTAACAATTTATTTCAAAGAAAATTCGAGGACGACTTAATTTACATTTAAATTTTATATTGTCAAACTGATACTATACTTTGCAAAGGTAAATAAGTAACTCTGTGAAATGTTTAGAAATGTTGAAAATAACTGAAAGTATTGCCATACAAAACAAATGAACAAGCGCTACGCACGTGCTACGCATGCGTAGCACTTCATTACTGTGCACGTAAATGTGGTATAAAGCAGTAGAGATTCCATAATAACGAGTATATTCATATGAATACATTAGTATGAATCGAGAAATAAAGTCTATCGTTTAAAAGTATAAACTGATGCAGTTTGTATAGCTGTTGCGGCTACAGAGTCTCAGCTACAATTAGTTGTAAAAAGTCTTCCATTAAAGTTTTTCTCTCGGACGTTGATGTGAGTCAGTGGTGATCACATCCCGCGTAGTTCGCAGCAATTTTCATAGTTTAGCAATTTCATTGGCAGCGTCTAAGCGGCGTGTCGGCGACGTTGCGTCGCGTCGCGTTCGTTCACTTCGCACAGGCTATATTTAGTGGGAGCGGCGCGCGGCGGCGGCGCAGCGCTGCGGCTGTACGGAATGCAGTCCGCCGAGCGCCTGACCTACCACAACACCGCTGTACCGGTGTCACAGTTTCGGCGCACGCACAGCCTCTCACCGCCGCCGCGGCCGCGCTCAGGATGCACCGTGACACACGTCCGCCACGTCTTCCAGACGTACCGTTCGTTCAGCCTCGTACGCTCCTCATACATTTACGATTACGACCACACTCGTAAAAGCACGGAACGTACTTGACACCAATTACACCTTGCGGAATGGATAGGTGCAGCCTGTAATTTCTGGAATTTTTACAAGGTACTGATATGAACTGTACAGGCTACAGGTTTCACTATATATCCTGATATATTTACCAAAAATTGGTTTCGATAAACTTTATTACTGTTTCTCGAAGAATGTTTCAGTTTTTTTATTTATGTCCCTCCCTAACAATGTAGATATTTTATTATATTGGAACAAATTCCTTAAAAGCTTATGTATACCATCCTATAAGTAAGTACAGCAAAGGGATATTAATATATTGAGATAAGAAAGGTTTCGGTCAAAGTTGTCTGAGCTCAATTGACGTCCATGATACATGGCGTATAACAGCATAACCTAATATTTATTCCAAACTTGAGGGTGATTACCATAATAATTTGTGTGATGTCATGTCGTCGGGCAGAATACAGGCGATGGTTGAACAAGACACAGCCCTGAATAAGCGCTGAGTCGCTCCACCTACGCGTAGTGTGTCTGAGTGTAGGGGTGCGACGGCCGGGTGGCGCCGGGTGGCGCCGGCTAGGTCAGACGCCGCTATTAGATCCTCAGATTGATCGCAGCTCCGTCGCGTTTCTTGTATAGACGTCTTATTTTATTCGCCAACAGCTAGCGTGACGCAATATCGCAACCATCATGTTTTTTTGTTTGGCTAGGTTTTATATAAGGCTTCCCGTCGCTGCCAATTAGTATCTGATATACTCCTCTGTTTAAACAACGAGGCCATATCGCAACCCTGGCCTGCATCACGTATAGAGCAAGGTTATTTAGCGATAAAGGATCCAACGTACCTGCTCCGATAATCGTACCACTTGTATGACGAATCGCGATACTTATCGAAGATTTGCAAGTAATATTCATGATATTTAAATTAAACCTTTGCCCCGTATGATCGTTGAATGTATTATAGATATCATTTTTGATTAATTTTTGTTGAGGAGCGATTTGAGATAATCTGTTGCGTTTGTTTCTCAAACATGCAAGAATACTGAATAATGGCGGACGCATTTGATTTAATTTTAATATTTTATTTGATATGTGATAGAGTGCCTGGCACTCAAAAGCAGTAGACTCGAACAATGTATGACGTCACAACTAGTATACACAACTTTTATTAGCCGTTATCGCAAATATTTGTTGCAATTCACGATAAAATAAGAGGTGCTTTGCGAGCCGTGTAGATAACTACCTTTATTAGTTACTAAGTCGCCATGTTCCATATTTTATAATGGTGACGCAAATACATTTTTACACCTAGAAAATCATTTCAACTGAACCTTTTGTCAGAACTGTGTTTAAATGCCGTTTAAAAATAAATTAAAAGTTATTTTAATTCTTGGAGAAATCTCATCTCGGACATTATGCATGCAGTAAGCATGCAGGCGACCGTAAAATCTTTGGCGGACCATTTTTGGCATCCCCTTGGATGGCGAGTTGTCGAAATACCTGTTTTGATTTGAGATAAATTATACCGTCTCAG